CGAAGGGGAGGAGGAGGATCTGTTGATGGAGGAAGAGGAGGAGGAGGTTCCGGCAGGGGTCTCAGCGGAGGACAAAACCCGAAGACCACCTGTGAAGGGCCCCTCAGAGCCTGCCCACCCAGGTGAGAGGCATGAGGGAGAGGAGGAGGCAGGGCAGGAGGCACGCAGGAGGAGGCTGGGGACGGGTCTGGCCTTTTCCTTGCACTCTCAAGATGCCTGACTTCTTCAGGTCTATTGCTGGATCTCTTGCTTTCACTGCCCATTTTCTTAATATGTGGCATGATTTCTTCAGTGTGCTGCCTGATTTCCTTGGTCCCCAATGGGATTTCTTTGTCCTGTTGCCTGATTTCTAAACTTGGTGCCTAATCCATCTCCGCACCCCATGCCCTGCTCTCTCCCGACATGGTTTTCGGAGATCCTCACCTGATATCCTGAGTCCTTCGTCTGGTTTTAAATCTGTCCAACTTGTCAACCTGCTGCCGTAGTTCCCAGTCCTGCTGCCTTATTTTTCTTTCCTATCCGTGCCCCCCCCCCCCGCCCTTTCCTGGGTTGCCCTGTCTTCTTTTTCCACTTCCGGGCTGGGGAGGGACGGGTGCTGCCCTTTCCCCCTTTCCCTTTTTCCTTATGCTCACCCCACAGAGGCCTCACCCCTGGGGAAGCGAGTGGAAAGCAGGATCCGGGTGCCTGTGCGATACTGCATGTTGGGCAGTCGTGACTCTGCCAGGTCAGGCATGCCCCATGCCCCCCACGTCAGCCCCCGTTTACCTGAGCTCCTGCCTGGGTGGGGGCAGGGAGGGGAGAAAGAGCAGGAGTAGGGCAGGGACAAGGCCTCCCCTCCTCAGAGCTGCTTGGGGGAGGGGCAGGCCGAGGCATGGGCCTAGGTCTTCCTGAAGCTGTGGGGCCCTCTGGTTCCTACAGGAACCCCCACACCCTGGTGGAAGTAACATCCTTTGCAGCCATCAACAAGTTCCAGCCATTCAACGTGGCCATCTCCAGCAACGTGCTGTTCCTGCTGGTGTGTGTCCAACTCCTACCGTGTCTCTTGTGGGCCAGGGGCCCACACACCTGGGCAGAAGGCTGGGGTGGTCTGGAGGAGGGCGGTCTCTGAAATGTCAGCTCCTTGTCGGTGGGGACTTTGTCTCCTCATAGGCACTCACTCATTCAGTGTTTGAATGGAGGAGGAGGTGGGAGGGCTGGGCCCTGCCCATTACAAGGGCCCTGGGCCCCCAGGATGGAGTTGGGCTCAGCTGCAGCCTTAGCAAGTCTTCTGCTGTACCTCTTCTCCAGGACTTCCACAGCCACCTAACTCGCAGCGAGGTCGTGGGGTACCTGGGGGGCCGCTGGGACATCAACAGCCAGAGTGGGTATTTGGGGATGGGGTGGGCAGAGGGATGTTGGGGGCCAGGGTCGATTTCCATGCCTTCTTCCTGCTGTGTGCAGTGCTCACGGTGCTGAGAGCCTTCCCCTGCCGCAGCCGGCTGGGGGACGCGGATACTGCAGCCACCATGGAAGAGGAGGTGAGGGGACACACTGGGTGGGCTGGGGTGGACACAGCTGTCCTAGCTATCATGTCCTGGAAGCTAGCAGAGTGCTTGAAAAATATGCAAATGAGTGCGTTCGAGCCCCTGTGCCCTCCTGGCACCTAGTAAAGCCTGCGTAAACATTAACTGCCATCCTCGATAATGCTTTCCTAACGGTTCTTAGTGTGTGCCAGGCACTGCGCTCAGCACTCTACCCCTGCCTTCTCGTGGCCCCACCTGTGTCCCTCGGGGGTGGGTGACCAGATGCTGATTCACCAGGAAGGGTTCTCTTTCTGCCCTTGCTTGCCTCCACTTGCTGGAGGCACCCAAGAGTGCCTGTGCCTCTCCAATGCGTGCAAATCCACGCCTCTATTCATAAGCATGTACTGTGTACCAGGCACTGTTTCATGAGCTGGGGACACAGCAGGGAACAAAAGTTTTTGCCCTTGCTTCATGACAGGTGCATCTTTTTAACGTATTTGTTGGCTGTCCCCCCACTGGACTGTTGGGGGGGGCAGCATCTGTCTTGGTCACTCCTATGTCCCCAGGCCTGGTACACAGCAGGTACTCATTATGTATTGCCTGCGTGTGGGGCTGGGTAGGCGCCAGGAGCGCTGGCGGCACCCCAAGGCTGGTAGGGTCCCTGGCTCCCCACCTGCCCCAGCCCTGCCTCTGCCTCCCAGATCTACCAGAGCCTGCTCCTGCGGGGCCTGTCCCTGGTGGGCTGGTACCACAGCCACCCACACAGCCCGGCGCTGCCCTCGCTGCAGGACATTGACTCACAGATGGACTACCAGCTGCGGCTGCAGGGCTCCAGCAACGGCTTCCAGCCCTGCCTCGCCCTGCTCTGCTGTAAGGCCCTGGCTGGGGCTGGGGGTGTGTGGGTGTGCGGGTGAGCGTATGCGTGCCTGTGTGTCTCCTGGACCACGAGTACCCAGGCCCAGCCCCCTGTCATGCTCTCTTCCCACAGCCCCTTACTACTCCGGCAACCCAGGCCCTGAGTCCAAGATCTCCCCCTTCTGGGTGATGCCGCCCCCCGAGGTAGGCAGGGCTCCTGGGGGAGGCCAAGGGCCAACGTGCGGAGTTTGGGTCATGGGATGGGAGGTGTCGGGCGGCTGGTGGTGACTGGCTGGTGTTCCTACCAGCAAAGGCCCAGTGACTACGGCATCCCCATGGACGTGGAGATGGCCTACGTTCAGGACAGCTTCCTGACTAATGACATCCTTCATGAGATGGTGAGCGCACTCCCAGGGGGCGCGGTGGGGGGCATGTCACCCCACTGCCTGCGACAGGCGGGAGCTGAAAGTGCTTAGCTGGATGCACAAATTATGACTCAGGAAGCTGTGGTGGAACTTGTCACATCAGGGCCCCGGTCAGTTTCCTCTTCTGCATATAATCCCATGACTCTTGGGATCAAGTCCCAGGTCCTTGTGGCGGCTCCTCCCTTGCCCACCTGCTCACCCACCTGGCTATCTAATTCTGGAACATGCTAGGGGTGCTTCCACCTTGGGCCTCTGCACCTGCCACTGCTTCTCCAAGTGGAGACACATGGAGGACTTCAGGTGTTACCTGGACAGTTTATAATGCATGTGGCTCAACAGGCATTTAAAACGCCAAGCTAGCTCATTACACCTGTGACTTACGGGCATCATCAGAATGAGGCTGAAGCCGGGAGCGCACGTCAGGCCTGTGCGACATAATCACGTTGAGCATGCCTTCCTCGGCCTCCGGCAGAGGGGGCATTCCCTCTCCTTCTCCGGAGGCCTCCTGCTGAGAGCCCCCTTCTCTCTGCTGGGTCACACCGCTCGGTGCTTTTCTTGGAGAGTGGTACCGTCTATTTGTTGCATCAACCTGGAAGCTGTCACGACATAGTGACAGTGCCAGGCCCACTCACTGCTGGATCCCCAGGGCCCGGTGTGGGGAGGCCGGGAGCCGGGGGTCCCAACCACACCCCGTCCCGTAGATGCTGCTGGTGGAGTTCTACAAGGGCGCCCCTGACTTGGTGAGGTTCCAGGAGTCCTGGAACCAGGAGCACACCTACCTCGACAAGCTGAAGGTAAGGCTTCTACCCCAAGTCCCATGTGAACCTCTCCTGTAGGAAGACAGTTCTTGGGGAGCCCCGTAAAATACACCCAATGGGTGACCCGAGGAACAGTGATTTCCTAACTTGTTTGGTACAAAGTACTTCAGATGGACATTAACACCGCCAAAAAGCCTTGTTTTATTATGTGAAGATTGGGGGGGATCACCATCAAACTCAGGCAGAGGCCACTCTGGACCGTCCCTCATTCCTCTGCCACCTGCGGAGGGTGTTGGAGGGGTTCTGACCTGGTTTAGAGCCCTCAGAGCAGCTGGTGGTGTGAATGTGCGCACTGGCCCCGCAGGCAGTGGGACATTTAAAGGAGGCTTTCGGTGGCCTCCTGTGTCTGGTTTATTGCCTGCTTGAAAGTCATTCTCAGAAGACACTCAACTCTGCCTTGCAAAGGACAGTTTCACATTTGCTTGTTTTGTTGAAACTTCTAAAGAAAACAGTGACCAGGGCCTAAAGTTGCGCCTGGCCACCTCCCACTCAGGCGCAGGACTGCTGGGTGGGGCGGCCTGCTGCCTTTGAAGGCCCTGGAGTTGGGTGGCCCCTGGCAGTTGATGTGTGTGGGATCTAGCCTGGGGTGATAGCAGGATTTGGAAAATGCAGGTAATGCCCTCACCCCAAACGTTAGTCAGCTGGGCCTGAAGTTGTTCAGGCTAAAAAGCCTGCTACACTGCTCTGCTAAAAAGCAAGCACTGCTTTGGATGCCACCGTGCGCCTCGGTCAGGTGACCCCTCTGGCAGGTGGCAGCACGAGGCCAGGCCAGACTCCTGGGCACAGCCCTGAGGTGCCAGCCCCGCTTGTTGCAGATCTCCCTGGCCAGCAGGATGCCCAAGGACCAGGGCCTGTGCCACGTGCTGGAGCAGGTTTACAGCGTCCTCAAGCAAGGGATCTGAGGGCGCCGGCCTCTGAGGACCTGGGAGGCCTCCCAGTCAGACTCGGGACCCCCGGCCCCACGCCTGGCAGCTCTGGGTGAGGGGGAGCGCGTTCAGGGGCTTTGTCTGTGACTGTGGCGCTCCATTCCTGTGACTGACTTGTGCAATGGCAGGGGCTTATGTAATAAAGGAAAGGAACAGCCCAGGCACGTGTCTCACCCTGAGGTGGGGGGCCCACCGGCACCTGCTGCTGGGCACGCTGGCTGTCTGGGCAGCAAAGCATCCGTGCTGCTGTGTGTGGACTGTGTCCCTTCTGGGGCTGTGGGAAGGGGACTCTTGCTGGTCATACCTCCCATGCTGGTGACTAGGTAAATGACAGCTACTCTTCCTGGGCTGTGAGGCCTGTGCCTACTCCAGGAGTGGCTCTGGGCGGGGAGGCTGAGGGTGGGCAACCACGTGGGCCCTGTCCTGACCAGGGTCCCCTGAGGAGGGCTGTGCATGTTCGGATGAGCAGAGGCTTCTCTGCACCACAACCAGGCAAGAGACTGTAGAAAGAAACGTTTAATACTTTTTTTTTTTAAAGTCAAGATTACATTTCCACCTGCCCTAGACAGTGACCAAGGCTGTACTGCTTGTCTTGGTCCGGATGCCTGGGTCTCTCCCACTCACGATGGTGAGGGGGCCTTGGGGGCGAGCAGAGCCTTGTGTCTGGGGGCTGAGCAGGGTCACTGAAGTAAGGGAATGTGAACCAGGCCAGAGGTCCCTCCATTAAGCCAATTTCAGATTAGGCAAGAGGGGAAGCGGATGCGTGCTCATCTGCACAGCTGCCTACCTTGGTCTGGAAGAGACAGCTGGGGACACTGTCAAGAGGGGGACGGCAGCCAGCTTGGGATGTGGGAGGGCCTGTGAGACCCCCAGTACAGCCCCAGCAGCTAGGGGTCTGGGAACATTCACTCATCAAAGCCTTTGTGCTTGACCTTCAGGAGAGAGGAAGCTGAGGGCTCCCATGGTCCCATGTGTGTCGAGTTGAGTGTGTGTGCGCGTAGCTGGTGGAAGCAAGTTGTGCCAGAGAGAAACGTTCATGTGCTTGGTTGGGGGTGGGGCACCTCGCAGGTGGGGGGTGGGGTGGTGGGCAGGTATGTGGGGCTCAGCACCCTGCAGCTGAGGAAAGGCCAGCCTGTCCTTAATGGCAAAGCCCTCTTAGGGAGGTGGCATCTGTGGGTGTGTAGGGGCCTGAGAAGGGAGTATCTTACAGGAATTTAAAAGCAGGGTGGTGAGCCTCACTCAGCCAGGGGTCCTGCTTGGACCACCCCATCACACAGACTTTCAATCTGCTCCCAGTAAGGCCAAGTCAGGGTGGGCCAAGCCCCATTGTGGACAGGACAGAGGGTATGTGTGTGTCGTTGTTGTGAGTGGGGCAGGGGGGACCACCCAGAGTTACCAGTCCTGGAGGCAGCGGGAGGAAGTTAGTGTTTCTAAGAGCACCTTAGTGTTAGCCCCCTCAGGGCAGCGGAGCCCCACACAGCTGCATGGAGTAGAGAGGGGAGGCCCCACCGCCGCTGTGGGTGAGCACTAGTGTAAACAGGGCCCCGGCCCCCCGCTGGACTGCTGCCCCAAGTCCCTGGTGCCCTGGGAGTACCTCGGAAGGCCCTAGGAGGGGCACTGCCCTTGAACTTTGGGCCAAGTGGAATACAGGTGATCTGGACAGAGGGGCAGACAGGCCGACGCTGTCACTGAGGCAGGGGCACCAGCACTTCCACATAGCTGAGGGGGAAGAAGCCCGACTGGCCATGGAGCATGCCCTCGTACCAGTTCTCATCAATCTGGTTGGTCAGCGTGATGATGTCACCCTCATGGAAGCCCAGCTCCCCATCATTCTCGGGCTCAAAGTCATACAGTGCCTTGCAGCTCGGCTGGTCCAGGGGCGCTGTGGGTGGGCAGGGCATGGGTTTAAGGTCTGAGTGTCCAGCTGAGACCCCACCAGGTCCTGCTGCCTTGCTGTGCCTCAGTTTCCCCCAAGGAGAACCACTCCTTCCTCTTGCTCCCCAGGGTGGTTGTGAATAAGGAGCAAGTGTCAAGAAGAACAGCAAGGGTTTGTTAGTGGTTACCACAAGGCTCCTGGGAGGAGCCGGGAACGCTCGCTGGCATTAGGACAACAGGCCGACCAGAGCCTACCGCCCTCGGGACCATGCAGAGAACCTAGAGCCGGGGGGTGCCCTGGACGCTCACAGCAGCCCCTCTTTTGCATGGGGAGACCGAGGCCCAGAGAGGCAGGGAGTCTTGCCACCCAGCTGCTTAAGAGGGGCTGAGAGTACCAACCACAGTGGGTGCCCATTTCTACCAGAGAAGGGGAGTTAGCAAGACCTTTCCAGAATGGACTGGAAGGCACTGTTATAAACTGAGGCAGGGGGACACTCACGCACGCTCCTGCTGGGGGTCCGGACAGGCTTGTCAGAAGACCGGAAAGATGACGAAGCTGCTTGTAGACAAAACACACAGGTGCGCTCAGAGTGCTGGGGTGGGGCGTGGGTCCCATCTCTGGGGCCCCTTTTGCAGAGGGCGAGTGGGTGGGCAGGAGGCACCAGGCTGTACCACTGGATAGAGCAGGGGCTGGGAGCTGCCCCGGCAGAGTCCGTCTCTGAGGCCCTGGGACAGCAGAGTCCCCTCCTGCCCCTTACCTGTGATCTTGGGGGCTGGCGCACAGGGGAAGCCCCCATTAGACTGCTCAGGCTCCCCAAGGTCGAAGGTCTCCCGGGGCTTGGGCTTGTATTCGCGCTTGGGGCGCGAAGAGGCTTCCCGCATCCTGCGCACAAAGGGAGGGACGTGAGCAGCCACAGAGCCTGTCATGAGCCAGAGTGTCAAGGCCAGGAAACAACACCCCCACCCCCAGCTGTTTATGCTGCTTCAGCGTGAGCGGTGGGCCCTGGGGAAGCTGTGAGGGGACACAACACACAGGCGAATCCTGGGGGGAACCCTGGGCCCCATCCCCAGACTTGAGCATTTTTCAGGTTGCCAATAATGGGCTGTGTTCTGCTAAAGCCCCCCCATTCCCAGAAGGGAACCACTGCCAGGCAAGGAGACTGGCAGTGGGTCACACCCAGGGTAAGCTGCCTCCCATCCTCAGGCCACCCCAATCCGGTCCTTCAGAGACCAGGAAGAGCCTGAAGAGGTCGTGCTCCCTAGTAGGGCCCCCACTCCGACCCTCACAGCCCGGAGCTTGTTTAGGGACAGCCAGCCCCAGGCTCTGGACAGGGCTGGGCTATCGGAGCAAGGTATGTGGGCATCTCAGGGGCCAGCCCAGGAATCCACAGCATGGACTCCAGGTTTCCAGGGACCCCCACAGCTGCTAGGCATTTCTTGGCCAGCACGGAGCAGAGAGGGGCTCACCTTCGCTTGAGCTTGTTGGCCAGCTCGTCCAGGATCTGCACGGCCTGCCGGTGGTATTCCAGCTGGGCGTCCACCAGGGCAGAGAGCTGGCTAACCTGCTCAATCTGCAAACAACCAGGCAGAGCTGAAGAGGGAGCTGCCCTCTAACCCCCCTCTCCAGGCTAACTCCTGCAAGGGGCCTTCTCATACTGCTCCGCGCAGTGGGGCCAGCTGACCTCTGAGTAGCAGTGAGGGTGAAGGGCCAGAAGAGACCCAAAGCCTCAGGAGACCCCCTCTGGTCACTGTTCCCCTTTCATTTCCTTCACCCTGTAAACCAGCACTGAGCCTTTGGAAGCTTGCACCCCTGCTTGGCTCCTCATTTTAGGGGTTCCCCAAGGGTGGTCCCCAGGCCCGTGGACATACGTCAGTCTCCAGGAGGTTGTGCATGCTGGTCTCAGCCACCTCCTTGGACTCTTCAAACTTCTCCAGGGCCTGGCGCAGCTCCTCGTCAGGGATCTTGCCCTGCCTCTTCTTCTTGTAGTCAAAGTCCAGGCGGCGGCCCTCCAGCTTCTTCAGGTGGTGCTGGGGGCAGGGATGAGGGTCACACTGCAGGGCCACCCCAACGCCCTGCGGCCCTTTTGGCTTCAAGTATGCATGGAGGTGGGCCAAGCTGGGGCCCACGATGGGAAGGTGCTCACTGCCAAGCGAAGCACCCGTGAGGGGTCCCTGAGGGCTGTACTGGGAAGCAGGCGTGAGGCACAGGCCGTCAAGGCATACCTGGATCTCCTTCAGGTCTTTGTCGCACAGGTTCTGGAGGGGATCGATGAAGTTCTGCTTGACCTCTATATCCAGGGCGTCCTTCACCTCGGCCAGGCACTTCATGGACTCCCCTGCATCCAGCAGGGCGTCGCCTGTGGAAGGGGCAGGGGTAGGGGAAGAAGCTATCACAGGAGGCCTTGGCCTGAGATACCAAGACACTCCCACCTTCTAAACTGACCCCACAGGCCAGGACGTGGACCAGAATTCAGAGCAACAGACTGTCAAGTCAAATGTGAGCTGCAGTGGCCTGGAGCTGGTAACCACAGGTGTCAAAACCACCCGCCCTTCCATGCTCTTACGAGGGAGCAAGTTTACCCTGAACCAGCTAGGGCACGAAGGGGGCCTTCCCTTGGCCTTGACAACTGCTGGCAGTGCTGGGATCCTCCCTCACCCCCGACGGGGGCACAGAGGGGCTCTCTCAGGAGCCTCTGTTGCCCTCATCCAGGGACCAGCCAGCACTAGAGAAGATTCTAGAGCTATGGGGGCGAAGTGTCCCGCTCGCCAGTGTGGGGAAGCTCTGGCCTTCCACCCTCAGCCTGGCCGCCTGCCCGTGCAACCCCGCCGAGGCCTGTGGCCTTCGTGGCGGCCCTCACCGAAGTTGGACTCGCCACCCAGCTCCTTCCCATGGCGAATCATGCACTCGCCCAGCAGGCCCTCCGACTGCGGGTAGCCGGGGTTCTTCACCTGCCCGCGGATCTTGGACACTGTGTTGAGCATCGTCAGCTTGGCCCTCGAGGCTGGAACAGAATGGGCCAGGTGGGCATGCGGGTGGTCACTTCAGGAGTCAGCAGGCCTGCTCTCGGCCAGCGTTGCTGGCTGCCTCCCTCTGCCCTGGGTGCCCCCCTTCCCCGAAGTCCGCTTATTTCTCCCACTTAGGTCTGTCCTTGGCACAGGCCTTGAATGGACATGCCTGGGTTTGCTACCTGTCCCATGTCCACAGGCTCCTGCTGTGGGAACTAGCATTTGGATTTTCCTTGAGGGAAGGCCCCTACTTCCTTCTCTTCCTAGGAGACCCCCACCTCATGCTCCAAAGGCTGGTGTGTGGTTGGGGTCTGAGACACTAGGGATGAGCGCCCAACTCAAGCTGGTCTCATCACTCAGTTGGGGGTGGGGACTGTTAGCTGCAAGGATGACTTAAGGCAAGGACTGACACACACACAATGAGAGCTGCCAGAAGAAGGAAAAAGGAATATAGGGCCCCAAGGACATCCTTCAGACCCCTGGATGCAGCCATGCCTACCCCACGGCATTTTAGTTTTACCGGAGATTCCTGGCTGACAGACACCGGGGAGTCGGGGCAGATCCCCTGCAGTTAGCTGGTGCCCCTACCTGGGTTGGGCTGCAGGTATTCGATGGTTCTGGCCAGCACTTCCACCACAGCCTTGCTGGTAACATCGACCTTCTATAAAGAGACAATGTGCGGTTTCAAGACCACTGGGACCCCCAAGGCCAAACTAGGGACCCCTGGACACCCCTTGCCCTCCTCTCCAGTTCCTGCTTCTCTCAGAGCCCATGGAAGGGTTGTGGGACGCCTGCTACCTGTCTAGGCCACTCTGGTAAACCTTGCCCATCGGGGCACTGCCCCCTCAGAGTAGGGCCTCAGGAGGGACTCGGCTGATGGCGCTGGGCACCTGACAGGGCACACCGCCTCTCCCATTACCTTCTCCATCTCTTTGAAGTCATCGTCAAGCTTGGTCCCTTCAGCCCCTCCGACCTTCTCACTGACCAGCTGAGGAACAGAAGGAGGTAAAAGAGTAAGTCTCAGAAGAGGAGGAGGGGAGGTCCCAGGACAATTTCCCGCCATGCCACGCCCATTGCCAGTGGGAGGCTGAGGGGGTCCGAACACGCATGATGGCTTCCCAGGGATGTTGGACACAGATACCAACGGCGAGACAGGTGGCCGAGCAAGGCCCTGCCTCAAAATCCACACATTCCTTCAATGAGGGCAGGGGCGCCTTCTCTTGGAATGAATCTCAGGAGCCACTGGATATGGCACTTCCCCCAAAGTGCATCCTCCAGGGGAACCTGAGAGCTGAGCAGGCCTGGCAGAGAGGAGGTTCTATCACTGAGTGAACGTGGGAAGCGGCATATTTCACAAGCACTGACGGGGAGGGATAGACTTGCCCCCCCTCAGGCCGCATGTCGTGGCCTAGAAGTCATTTCTCATGCCGATGCATGTGCATGCAAACACATCTGAATAGCAGTCTGGCATGCTTAATCATACACAACTCTGAAGAGCAGAGTGGGACAGGATGAATTTCTGATGTTTAATCACAGACATTCATGTGCCCATACACAGACACACACTCAATTGCCTGGTGGCCGGCAGCAGTCTCCGCCCACCCACAAAAACCCCTCCTGGGGCTCCTTAGGGTGCTCAGTGGCTGCCAGCCGGCAGGAACAGCCAGACCCCTGGCACACGGGGATGCGTCCACCAATTTCTCCCTGTGTGGTCTCAGGTAATCTCCACTGGGCCTGAGATTTTCCCTTTGTGAAATGGGGTGACAGGCATGCACACTCAGGGCCATATCCTGACTTCCGTGGCCTGCTGTGTCCAAGTGTGTTTAGGGGCGTGCCTGGCATACGGTTAAGCACTGGGTACTCACAACTGCCCACATCGCTGACTACCATTACTTTCCCAATGTGTCTTGTTGCTCCGAGGGGACTGAGCAGAACTCTAGGGCTGGCCTAGCCTGTCTGTTTTTAGCTGCTGTGCCCCCATCTCAATGGGAGTCAAGAGGGAAGGGGGCTGCATGCCCCTGAAGATCAGTGGTTCTCAACTTGGCTGCACTCAAGGAGCCCAGGAGGGAACTGGGCACAAGTGAGAGAGGAGACCACTGCAGTGAGGGGGACAGGGAGGAGGCGGGGCTGGTGCAGGGCCTGGCCCAGGGAACGTCACCACCTGGACCTGCTGGGCTGTGCTCTGTGCTGCACCATCCTCTAGGGAAGCGATTTTCAACCTTTTCCATCTCACGGCACACACTAATAACTAAAATTCAGTAGCACACCAAAAAATATTTTTGATTCATTCACCCTGGACACCTACTGCTGTTAGCTGTTGTCATTTTAAAATTTGACAATCTAAGGAAAAAAAGGTCAATGCCCATGACTAAATCAGGAATTGCATGTTTTAAAATTCCTTGTGGCACACCAGTGGGCCACAGCATACTGGCTGAACACTGCTGCTTGAGGGGACATCATGACTTCATAAGGAAAAGATCCTGTCTGAGGTGTTTTGGGGGCGTTCCACTTTGTTTCATGGGGCAGTTTCACTTCTTTTGATTACGGGAAAACAGGACGTTCTCAAATTCGGTGGTTGCCAGAGAGGGAAGTGAGTGAGCTGGCTGACTTGAGACGCTCCTGGTGCACGGGCAGGGAGCTGGGGCAGGGAGCTGAGGCACCGGTGCCTGAAACCACACCTTCCGGGCGAGGGCACCTGGGCCAGGCAGCCCGCTCAGTGCAGCGCCGAAGGGAGCAGCTCCCCCAGGGAGAAGTCCCTGCAGCCTGTTCCAGGCCCTCGAGGAGTGTCACCTCCCCACCTCTCCTGGGAAGCTGGGACTCTGCTTTTCTAAGCCCTCCAAACAGTTCCTCTGCCCGCCCCCGCCCCCGCCCCCGCTCCCCACTCCAGCCCACTCAGGGCCAGATTTACCTGGCCATCCTCGTGCTCAGGTACCTGGGAGGCCCTGAAGGAACTAGGAGGCTCCTACCTCTCTCCCCACCCCGCCCACTCCACCCCTTGTGGGAGCTCTGAGCTCAAATCCCTCAGGCGGTGGCTGACTGTCCCCCACATCCCTGCTCCCCAAGGCTTAGTCTTAGAACCAGCACAAATGGATGAGAAAATGACAAGAGGTTAAAAAGGAAAAAGGGGAAAACCAAAGAAACCATGTGCCAACCCAGCCACAGGAACAAAGGGACGCAGTGCTGAGTGTGAAGCTCCCGAGTAGGCATGGCCATGGCCCAGCAGACAGGGCGCCTGAGTGGTCCACATACAGAGCTGGGGGCCATGTGTGGGTACAAGGAAGCACCTTTGGGTGGAGGGAGCAGCCTTTTCTAGGGGGTGTCTGGGGGCGAGTTGCCAGCCCTGGATGCTCAGGGGTCAGGTCTCTGTCTGGGTAGAGGGGCCATTGGCCCAAAAGTACCCTGTCCGTCCGGGAGGCCACCACCCTGACACTTCAGTCTTGCTCAGGCTTACCCACGTGTTCTTGGGCCCAACGAGAGTGGTAGGTATTGCTGTGGAAATAACACCCATGTGTAGAATCTACCCCAAATGAACAGTGTGCCCCCCATACCCTCTCACCTGGTGCTCCCTACAACATGATTGTGTTCCCACACTGCAAGGGAGGAAACTGAGGCATAGCACCTGGCAGAGTCCAAGAGGCTGAGGACTAAAGCCCACGCTTCCTCTCACATCTAATGAGGAGCCAGGGACCCCTCAAGCTCAGTGTGTGTGAGGGTCTGTCCTTCACTGTTTGAGACCTGTGTGGCCACAGCACCCCCCAGGGGAAACCAGGGCAAATGGATGACCGCTTCCCCCTCTCCCGCAGGGCCGTGACCTTGGTGGTGTGGGGAAAGCAATGCCTTCTGGGCTCCACCTGGCGGGTCAGAGCCTGAGTCACCAGCACTGAGCCCCATCATGGTTGTCATTGTCAAATCCATGCCGGTCCCCACACAGGGCCCAACCCAAGCCACAATGCCCTCCCAGACTCTGCCCCAGTTCAGGTGCCAGCCAGGGCCCTGTGGAGACTTCTGCAGAGGCACCGGGAGGCTGGGGCAGGGCCATCCCAGCTAAGAGAGACCCAGGGCTGAGAAGTCACTGTGACTTCTCATGGGTGGGAGAGGCTGCCACCCAGGAAGGCATGGGAGCAGCCTCTTGCCCACTGGACGATTCTTTGGTCTTTGCAAGACTGGCTCCGGCTCTCTCAGATCCCAGATCCAGCCAGACCTGGCTCTATGCCCTCCTGTGCCCACTGCCCAGCGGTGCCTGCATGCCACATGTCATTTTTCACCTGGACCTGTTCCTTTTGTCTGTCTAGTGCCTGATGTAAGCCTGTGAGGAGAGGCCGTACCTGCCTGGTTGGTGGCTGTATTCCTCCTGTTCTGGCACAGTGCGGGCTTTGGGCAATCGCTCAGCAACTGTGTGCCCCACAAAGGGTCTGGAGCAGGGTCTCTCCTGGGGGGAGGCCAGCCAGGAGACGCTCAGTGCTGCTCTGTGACAGCTCTGAGCATTCGCCTGCCTGTGTCCCTCTCTTTTTAAATGGCTTCATTGAGCTTTACTAAGTGGACTAATCACATGACTGACCCACCCGGAGCGAACACCTTGATGAGTTTCAGTGACAGCACCTCCAGCACAGGAAGTCCCTCAGGCCATACTGTCATTCCTGCCCCCCCCCCCCCCCCGCAACTCCTGCTTTGCTGTCTGCCTGTCTAGGTATTGTTCCTGGAAATTGCCAGATGGACCCAGACCCTATGTTAGTATTTTTCACCTTTGGGAAGAGTGTACTCTGTTCCCCACTCAGGCTGCAGGCCCTTCCAGGCAGGATGGGACCTGCAGCTCCATATTCTCCTAAGTTCAAACTGTGCTTAAACTGCACAGGTGTTTCCTGCCAGTGAGAAGGTAAAAGAGCTCCCCAGCCCTGCTCACGTTCCCAAATGCCCGACCCACTCAGGCTGCTCTCCGGGGAACCCCCGGGTCCCATCCCACCTGGACTTGGAATGGTCATATTTACAATATGCCCGCCAGTGATTGTGATGGGCAGATTGATGCAGGCCTATTTCAGGCTCTTGCATTGTCTGACAATGATACCCATGAACCAGGAACCTGGGGGAGGGAGCGGGCTTGAAGTGGGGCTTCGGCCCACGGCACCTACATGATTTCTGTTCTCGTGCTGGCTTGAATCTGTACCCCGAATTATGAGTGTGCCCCCCACACTTAAAATAAAAATCAATTGAAGAAGGGGGCTGTCCTTTCCAAGATGTATTCTTCAGCATTCTAGACCTTTGGCTGTCTTTAGAGAGGAGCAAGGACTCCAAAGCGCAGGAGAGAAAGAGGGAATGTACAGTGGACAGGCCACAAAAGGAAATGAGACGATACTGTGCGTCGAGACCTGTCAGGGCAGCCGCTGGGGGGAGCAGAGCAGGGAACAAAGGCAGGAGAAGCTTCTGCCTGGGGCTGCTGGATGATGACTGCCCCTCACTGGACAGGCACATCTGTGGTGGCCCCTTGGTGGCTACTGGAGGAGCAACCTCAATCCTGCCAAGTGGGACAATGACACCAACTGCAGGCCTCGTAATTGGGTCATCTCAGAAGGGGAAACCTGATCAATACCACACGGAAAATAAACAGGCTGATCTGCAGGCTCATGACCTGGGCAGACAATTCACTTTGATGAATTGAGTTTATGGAAGAAGCGAGGGGGAGCTGGCCTGGGGGAGTTGGGAGGAGAGGAGACAAACCGGGCTGCTCAGGGCCCTGCGGTCCAGGATGGGTGCTCCGCACTTCCTGCTCAGCGTCCTCATGCCTCGTCCAGACATCATGCTCTGGGTGGCCATGGGCAACACTCCATGATGGGGTAACGCCCAGGCCTCCCGTTTTCTCCTGGTGAGGGCCAGGGTCTGGGGGCAGGCCTCACCTCCTGCCTCTGCCTGGCTGACTTCTCCCTGACCATCTGTGAGTGCACAAGGGTGACACTTCCCACTGCGCTATGGAGCAGCCCCTTCATTAGCCAGAGC